ATGACGCAGTAAGCTATTTTATTTCTTGAACTGGATTGGCAAGAAGGATAGACATTCTATGAATTGTGCTTAAGTCCAGACATCAACGAGAGAAATAATGCCTGGGACAAAAGACTAAAATACAGGCTTTTACAGAGGATCAAAAATCCCACATCTGACACAGGAGCGAAATGTGTACTCATGAGTTGTTTCCCTTGTAATGGTTTCCAAGTGGACGCGCTTATGCCAGACTTGCCGGTCCACTTTATCAATATCTGCCTGGACTCCGACACGTCCCAGCCAAGAGAAAGAGCAGCCACAACCTACTCCTCGAGTTGTACATAGTTGGCAGGGAAGAGCCCCTTGTGACCCTTGTACTCACCGAACCACCAATCATCATCGGGGAATTCCTGGTGTCGAGTTAGCGATGCCGTTGTTTGACTAGAATGTCTGGCTAAAAGCAAGCGAAAAGCGAAAAAAAGACGAAGAAGCAAAAAGGACTGCAACATGTCCCACTTACGATGTTGACTATTTGAGCACCCTCCGGGAAGCTGAGCTCATTGTCCTCCGCAGCCTCGTAGTCATACAGTGCCATTGCAGTTGGCTGTGTGATATCCTGCCTTTCCCCAGGACTGTGGGCAGGAACGATTGCAGGAATTTCCTTGGGTTCTTCAGCTCCAGCAACTGGTGCGAGGTGCTCTAGCTGGTTGTCTTTGACGAGCTCAACATAGTTGCTGGGGAAGAGACCCCGCTCGCCGCGCGCATTAGAACCAAGCCACCAGTCCTTATCAACCATCTCTATGCCAGACACATACTCTCCCTCCTTCAAGTCTATTTCATTGTCCTCTGCCTTCTCATAATCATACTGCACAATAGCCTGGAGCGCCTCGTCTTGAGGACGGTCAACGACTGTAGCTTTTGACGTTTCCCTACCAATATCAATGGCAGTATCCTCGAGCCGTTCATCATCCGGTACTGCCTGTCGGAGGCTTTGTGTCGGCATGACAGGAGGTGGCGAGTATTGTTCATCGTGAGCGTCTGCAACTTCTCCTCGTCCAACTGGCACGGCAACGCAAATTGGAGAAGATTCACGTACGGGGGGCGGCGTTGGAGGAGTAGGGGAACGAGGCTGTTGAGGAGGGATAGGTATAGGCTGGTGAGCTTCGACGTCCAATGGTTCTTCCGGTCTCATCACTTGTGAAGTATGCGCTGCAGGTAATTCATTTTCGGAACCAGGTACGCCGACTGGTTCTTCATCGGGAGAGGGACTCTTGCCTGCACCATGTAATTTCTGATCCCGGCTGGTAAAGTCTGACAGGCCAGGCAGTGACGTTTCCGGCCCAGTCGTCAATTCCTGCCCTTGCTGGGAGACACCGCGGTCCACAGAGTTGCCCGTAGGCGTAGTCTGAACGGGAGCCCATGTCTTGCCATTGTACGAACTTTTCCATTCTCCCTTGCTGCCGCCCTGACCACCGCTTGCTGCTGATGGGCTAGGGTCAGGACCTTGCCCTCGTGCTCGGGCTTTTCTCTCGGCCCACTGCTGCGCAGGAGTCTTTCCTCCTTCGTCTGCAAACGTTCTGCTTGCAATGCCAACCTGTGTGGCAGGAGGGACCGGGCCTGAAACGAAGCCACCGGGCAAGGGTGCCTTTGTGCCTGTGAAAGTTGAGCTTAGACCGATTTTGTTCGCAACCTTCGGCTTGGGTAAAGTCGTCAAACGCTCAGGCTGATCGGCTAGTTTTGGAGAATTCAAAGATTCAACCCTTTCATTACGCGATTCAACAGGGTTGCTTGAGACGGACTGGTCAACGGATGATTCAGGCTGCTTCTGCGCCTTAGAACGGATAGCAGCAATATCGACCTTACCAACCGGCTCATATGCGCCTCTCACAGGCTCGGGTCGGTCTTCTTTCAATTCTCCTGCTTCCCGCGCTTGTTTCCTGATTGCAGCGATATCCACTTTGCCTATCGGCTGATAGCCACCCTTAACAACATCATTGTTCTCTGTAACGGGAAGCTCATGATAATGAGATGTTCTGGGCAGGCTCTGAGACTTGATTGCCTCTATGTCAACCTTAGTTGGCTTGTACGCGGACTGAACTTTTTCAAGTTCTGTCCTGGTAACCGGGGGCGCATCTGGACCCCAGCCATTATCATCGCCGCTCATTCTTGGAACCACCCTAGTGGAGACATTTGACACGGTCTTCGAGTCTACCGCACCAGTTCTGGTGGGGGTGAATGCTGGTTTGCTTGCAACTGGAAGCGTTTTGGGCACAGCAGTGACTGGCGAAGCTCGTTGAGGTGTGTATTTCGCACCAGAGGCATCTCCGACCTTCTGTATTATTCCCTCGGGTGTCAGATCCCCCTCGGATCGTGCAGTGATCTGGACATGGTAGTTCTGGAGTAGCCTAATATCAGAAAAATATGTTCATCTAAGCTGTACAAGGGGGCACCGACGGATAAAAACTTTGTGACAGCAGACAGGTGGCTTGTAAAGTATCCTTTCGTTCGTTCTGGGACGCCCTCTCCACACCATCCGATGAGGATATTCTTCGGGAGACCACTGTTTGGATCAGTGACTTTGACGAAAGCGAACTGAATCTTTCCTTCCGAAAACTCGTCAATGAGATCCTCAAGCTCACCGGCTGCAGGATTAGGTATCAGCATTTGAGTTTAGCCTCGAGTAATAAGTGACTAACCCCCGGTATTCTGGACTTTCAAGACACTTTCCTTACTATCTGAATTCCTCTGGAAGGCATTGACCAAAGGCGTAGAGACAGAAAATACTGCCCATTGTCCATATGTAGCGCTGTCGGCAGGTAGCGAACAATCGATTACGGACCGATAACTCTTGGTAATTGATGGCCCGTTCGACGAGAGATTCAGAGATGCCATATCGCTGAGAACTAGTCGCTGGGTAGTATCGAGGATCTGTGGATCAAATAAGTGATGCAATGATAGTTGCTAACTACAGTGATTTTAGTCGACTAGTATTGCAAGGTGCGTAACAGATTTCATGGATGAATAAGTGTGATGCAGGTAACTAAGATTAGATAGGTCACTCAGCAAGGACGAGGAGGCCAGGTGTGTCAACATTAGGTTCATGATCTTACTACCTTGGGTAAAGGTAAATCAACAAAGTACATTTAGGTACTAGTCAATGTCATTGGTACATAGTAGTTAGTTAACTTACATCTCATACCTTAGTCAATACGCCATACGCACAGGAATAAAAACAGTCATACCATCATACACAGTACTGTAGTATGACGATTACATCATAATTTTTTAGTAAACCGAGGGTGACTAAGGTAAGAGTGACGGTAACTAGTACTAGTTAATGGAAGGAGCCCATACCTTACATAAGGCCAGTTCTTTCAGGACTTCGCTGTATTCGCTGACCTGTAATGATGGATATATTAAATAAATAATGGGTTTATAATGGTTTATAATCATTATCAGATGCATGAGATCGAAAACTAATTATTATACCTAGGGTTTAGGTAATTAAGGCTCTTGCAGGAGCAAGATATGACTCTGTATGATCTTCGCCTGGGTTGTAATATCTTAATGTGACTGTGGATGGTAAGGTAACCTGACTGATGTGGTCTTTATAATACTCTCCCCTAGCTGCCCTGTGGTACATTATGTTGACCAAATCCTGCTCATATATTTTGTCAGGTAGATAGATACCTAATACATAGATAGTGTTGATTGCGTGAGCAATGATGTTATATAGGTGGTATGTATAAGTATATATAGACAGAGGTGTGACAGCAGCAAGATGTTTAGAGTACTACTTCACTGTGTATGGAGTATATGACCCTGCAATAAGACTACACTCCTTATTTTAAACTTGGGGCTCATGGTTCTTTTTCACCATGACAAAAATAAGGAAGGCAAACCTTTGCTGTCTCAGACTATTGGTAAATAGGACAATCGGCCAGGTATAAGTACAACTACTGAGAATCATGCTGCCCTCCCGGCCTCCCTAGAGCCTGATACAGCCTGTGTCTAAGATATATGTATTGCTGGTATTATTGGAGGCTGTCACATCATTTGGTTCAACCCTTTCGACATCGTTCATAACTTACAAGTACTACCACGTTTGACTAGTACCATCTGCTAATGACTGTCCAAGGAAGGTATATGTCAGAAAACTGATAAGCCAGGGCAATACCAAAAGTGTATACGAGTAAGGTACGGAGTACAGATCACCAACCTACGTACTTAGGTACTTTAGCCTCCTGATAGGGGTAGACCCGATCTAATTTTCCTTATCTCCTTAATATCCCACTAGTACCCCAGAAGTATGCGGTGAGACTTCCATGTGACCCTACGGCTGGGCTCCATATTAATCTGTAGTACAAGATTTTCTGAGAAGAATTTGAGAGAGTTCCAGACCGTAAGGTACAATTGCTGACAGGTTATCCCTGTTTTCATTCAAACCTTTCCCTGACACCCGCACGGTCGAAATGGATAATAATGCGCATGACCTGCAAGCTAGCACTGAAAGCTCAACTGTCGACTTAAATCATGACCGCGATGAAGAAAACACACAACAGGCAGATGTTGACAGCTCTTTATCTGCAGCTGTGACAGATAGTCTTGACCATGTACTCCCGAGGGATAGAGAGATGAAAACACCGACATACGATTATGCTTACGAGAAGTCGATGAGTCACACAGAAGCAAAACTCTTCTACCAGCATCATCAATTGGTGTCACGAGGCGCCGACAGTGAGTCTGATCGGGGTTCCGGCCTCACGGGCAGGCCTTCTGCCTCTGACATACTATCAACTAAAGTCCAGACGGAGGGAAAGCCTCAAACAGGCATCCTGGGCTCGAGTAATTCAACGCAGCTTGGCACGACTACTTCGGGATACGCTGAAAATACCAGCACCAGTGCCGGTCAGCTTCCACTCCGAGATGATGCAATGCATCTTGAGAATCCAAATGAACAAGGATCGTGTTATATGCAATTCGCCACTGAGGTTCCAGGTGCTATCAAAAGTGCTATGAATATGACGGGCAGCGGCACGGTTGCCTCGGAATTAAACATCATCTACCGCAAGATTCGCGGGCTACTTGAGCGACGCGCTGAATATATCCGACTGTCATCACAGGGTCCTGAGGATAACCCCAAAGATCGTCCCGACTGGAGGATTTACCCTCCCCCGCCAGAACCAGCCTGGGATGCTGATAGAGAGAATGGGAATCAAGGATCCTCTCCTGGTGCCGGAACCAAGAAAAGAAAGATGGGCCAGGATATTGGTGAGGACTTCGACATGGCTGAATTCATTCCGCTCCCGGGAGAGTCAAGTTGGACATTCAGACTGGATGAAAATAGTGTCTACCAAGTGTACGAAAATATCGAGGCTGCAAATGCGCACAAGCCTACCATCAGAATACCTTCACTGCGTGATTTTTATATGGACCTCGATGCAGTCATAGATGTATCTACAGACGGACCAGCCAAGAGCTTTGCGTTTAAACGTCTTTCTTATCTGGAGGGCAAATTTCAGCTTTACACGCTGCTCAATGAATATCAAGAGATTGCTGACAGCAAAAAGGTACCACACAGAGACTTCTACAACGTCCGAAAGGTTGACACTCATGTCCATCACTCGGCTTGCATGAATCAGAAACATCTCCTCAGGTTCATCAAAAGCAAAATGAAGAAGTCTCCTGATGAAGTTGTATTATTCCGGGATGGTAAACATCTAACGTTGAGAGAGGTTTTTGAAAGCATAAACCTAACAGCTTATGACCTGAGCATTGATACGCTGGATATGCATGTATGTATCATTCCCACAAGTCTCTTCTTCTTACAACTCTCCCTTCTCATCAATTTTCAGGCGCATACGGATTCCTTCCATCGCTTTGACAAGTTCAATCTCAAATATAATCCCGTCGGGGAGTCAAGGCTACGCGAGATCTTCTTAAAGACGGACAATTATATTAAAGGTCGCTATCTGGCCGAGATCACAAAAGAGGTCATCTCAGATTTAGAGTCCAGCAAATATCAAATGGTGGAGTGGCGCATCTCAATATACGGAAGGTCGATTCAAGAATGGGACAAGCTCGCTGCTTGGGTGGTTGACAACAAACTATTCTCCCCAAATGTGCGCTGGCTAATACAAGTTCCTCGGCTTTACGACGTCTACAAAGCAAGCGGCATGATGGAGAACTTCGAGCAAGTCATCACAAACGTTTTCCAGCCATTATTTGAGGTGACCAAAAATCCGAGCAGCCATCCCAAACTTCATATCTTCCTCCAGCGTGTGGTCGGATTCGACAGCGTGGATGACGAAAGCAAAGCTGAGCGCCGGCTGTATAGAAAATACCCCATTCCTAGAGAATGGAATACGAAGCAAAATCCTCCCTACAGCTATTGGATTTACTTCATGTTCGCTAATATCGCGTCATTGAATTTCTGGAGAAAGCAACGCGGCTTTAACACCTTTGTTTTAAGACCTCATTGCGGTGAGGCTGGGGATCCAGATCATCTTGCAGTTGGTTTTCTCTGCTGCCACAGCATCAGTCACGGAATACTGCTTAGAAAGGTCCCTCTACTGCAGTATTTGTTTTACCTCGATCAGATTGGGATCGCAATGTCCCCGCTCAGTAACAACGCGCTATTCCTGACATATGACAAAAATCCGTTTGCGAATTTTTTCAGGCGTGGCCTGAATGTATCCTTGTCAACGGACGATCCCCTGCAATTTGCGTTTACCAAGGAGCCGTTGATTGAAGAATATTCGGTTGCTGCACAGATATACAAATTCAACGCTGTGGACATGTGTGAGCTCGCAAAACATTCAGTCGAGCAAAGTGGCTTTGAACTATCATTGAAGAAGAGATGGCTTGGTGCGGACTGTTCTCTCCGCGGGGTCGCAGGAAATAATGTCGCAAAAAGCAATGTGCCAGACATTCGGGAGCAATTCAGGCATGAAACTCTACTTGGGGAACTTGCCTTGTAAGTTATTCTCGTGCTTGCAGTCCACCATACAGACAGACATATTAGGGCGAAAATAGAACTTGCTGACGTACTAGGATTGAACAATATTCTGATCGTCATATTGACTGTTCAACTAGGCGACCAATCGTCCCCGCCACAGGCAGTCAGCTAGAAGCACCGTCACGGATTCCTCTTGATCCAGAGCAAGGACACTCAGGCCATTGTAAGTTCAAACGCCACGGACCCAAAAACTCACTTTTAGAGTCTCTTGTCCGATGATGTCGGAGTCTTTATCGTCTCATTATCATTGTTTTGTCGCCATTTTGACCGCGTCCCTATGGTCGTCCCCTTTGTCCTTCGGGCGCTTGTTCAGTGTACGGTCTTAGTCTCTGTTCGGTCTGATTGCTAATAATGAACATGCAGCACAGTCTCCCACTAGCTCGGTCTTACCTCAGCGATGCGACGCCAGTGACGCAGAGGCTCTCCGAAACCCCTGCTCCTCAGATACCACCAGTGCCGGCGACTCTGGCAACTCACTCGGAGGTACCCATCCCATAGGGCAAGCGGCAGCTTCCCCGGGTAGTCCACCAGAGCACCGAATTTTCCCTGGTATTGTTCATGAGAGAATCCGGAGAGATAATACCAACGTCAATAATGACAGCTGAAGCCTGAAGGTCAATCGAAAATACAGGCAGAGAGCATTGGTCAGCTCAATGCTGGAGTCTCAAAAATCCGAAATAAACAGCTTTGACACTATCTGTTCCCGCCTACAAATGTTATGATCTGATTTGGACATGTTTGAAGTTAGCCATCCGCATCTTAAATATTGATATAATCTTTAATTCATGCCTCGTCGCAGTGTGATCTGGATACTCTCTGTACTATCTATGTGGCATAATACGATATTGAAGACTTTTTGGAAAATAGCTATGAAGCCAGGTTATAGGATTTCTTGTGCCTGGCTAAGGTACTGATGGGGATTATGGTGAAATATTAATATGTGATGTTGGATACTGATATGTGGGTAGCCAGAAATACACCATACAGCAGATCATTGAAGTCTCGTGGCGCCGAAGGAGCTGAGAACGACGGGCAGGGGAGAGCCTATAGGTGATCTGTGTTATTTTGAAGATATGTATGCTAAAGGTAGTACAATGACATTATGGAATGATAAGTCACTTACCTCCCTCTGTATACACAATTATTACAGATATTCCAAGCTATAAAAAGATCAAGAAATGACAGAAAAAAAGCTGCGCTATATCACTGATATTTGTTGGTGTTGAGCTAAAATTAGAGGTCATGACTCTGGGCTAGTATGTGCATGGACCAATAACGATATTGTAATATTAGTATTTTCAGGTCAGAAGTTCATTAAATTGCCCAGCTCCCTCTCCTCTCAAGCACACCCCATGCGTCGTGATCATTATCATTATCAAAATCGGATTGTGACCTTGCCCAGTCATGAATATACAAACGTAAGGCCACCCAACGGGCACAGACCTGTTTAACGGCCGGCCCATTTGCTGAACCATCTTCATTGACTTGAAGGTAGCCCCTAGCAAGAGCAGATGTATCACTCCGTCTGAGTTCCTTCACAGGGATGCCTGACACCCTGCTAAGCTCATGGTCGTAGTAACGTGCAACACACGGGTAACCTAGAGATAAGTAGTTGTAGATCTGGGTCACGAAATTATCGTCAACCCCGAAGCAGCAATCATGATGTTCATTGTCAATGTCATGACGCGATAATTCTCCTACATCTAAAGCCAGATGACAAGAGGAGCTAGAAGTAGATTGGTCCTGGTCCTGCTCATCGCTGCATACTTCAGATTGACACTCATTGTTGTTATAGCGACGAAAATTGTCTGTCACGCAGGGTAAAGATCCTTTGGATTGTTGAGCATGCTTGTAATTGCAACATGTTCCCTTCCAGAGACCAGTAGTTGCATCATCCTGCACATGATCAGGTTGTGTACACCAAAGACCAGAATCATTGCGGACTCGATGCTTTGAATCGGTAGCACAGTCCCGCACAGAGCCACTCTCACACATCGTCGCTTCGGGAGATAAACTCTGTGGGAATACAAGGTCATCGCCTAGCATAGGTGGACGCGCGAGATGCCTGGAGAGATCTGGCTCATACTTTCCTCTCCAGCAGTCATTATCGATTCCATTGTAAAACTGTCGAGGGTTGTATATTGCAGACGAAAGGCGTCTCCCCTTCGTACCCGCCATAGCACGATCCCTCATTTCGGCATCCTCCTTATGCCGGCGCATATGTTCAAGTTCCCACGGAAGATCGGCCGATGATTCCCGCCTTGATACATGTAGAAGGCCGTTTTTCGAGTCCTCCTCGGAACATTCGTCTTCATCCTTGTCGATCGCAAAGTGATCCACAGGCTCATAGACTTGTTCATTGGGAAATGCTGCAAGTGCCTGCTCCTTCAGTTGATTTTCCACCGTTTGAGCTGCGAGAGAAAGGAAGTACTCCGCCATATGACCATCACAGCCAGTTTTACAACTGTTTTCGGCTTTTGAGTGATGAGCAGATACATTGGATGAAACGGAAGGAGACGCCGAGAGCGACGGTATATCCGACCCCTCCGAGGCATCACTGCAGCTGGAAGGGATTGCAGGGAGGTCTGGCACTCGAAAAGAGTGGCTCCTTGACTCTTGACGCTGTTGAAGACTAGAATATGAATATTTAGATTCGATAGTGGCAGAGGAAGCATCTGAGTTTGCACAGGTGGAGGTGCCGCTTTGCGTTCGAGACCCGTTGTCATACCCCTGTACAGGAGCTCCAGACAAAGTATGCGACGTTTCCTTGCGGCGAAATGAACGTTTATTGGTCTCAACAAGCTGAGGTGCAAACTTTCTAGGACATGATTGCATCTGAAGTACGACCTTTTTGGTAGCCGAACTCGAAACAGGGTAGGGCAGTCGGTCTCTATTCGTTTTGGTGTCAACTGAATTATGAAGTACTTCTTCCCTTATCAGCTGCCGCTGGGAACGGCCACAGGTCCGGTTGTCACTATCTTCAATGTCATTCGGTATCAAGGAGTCGTCTTGCTGTCGTTGTGAACTCGTAAGATCGTGGGGTGAGACTGGCCGTGTATCTGCAATGAGTGTTCCTGCTGGCTTGCCTTCAACCTCCCGTTCCACGGAAGAGGCCTGCGCTGAGGGAGTTGACTGGCGGTTCCGGGAACTGCGAGATGATGATTCAATCACATTAGGTAGAAATTTCCTGACCCTTCGGGGCGTTTTCTTCGTCTGCTCCGACATTATCTTGGGTATTTTGACGATCCAGTGTGTAGACACTTCACATGGAGCTAGAGTGATTTGGAACTGCCGAGTGCTGCCATGTCAGATAAGATAACTTTGTGGACAAATAAATCCAAGACAAGTGCAGTCTAGCCGTCAGGCAGGCATAGTTGCAAAATACAGCAGATGTCACCCTGATTGTCTCATCCGGGACAACTCTCCTTTTTTTTTGCAGTATCAGACTATGTTTGACTGAATGCTGCCAAAGTATGACAGCTCATGTAGCGTCCACCAAGGTGATTATGTTATCTATACAGGATGTGTCTTGAAGTTTGTTATCTGCAAGGCCCCAGTGGGCATGACAATATATAATTAGAAATGTCTAACGAAAGAACACATACTAGAGAGGTACAGCACAGCAGCAGCCTGTCATTTTAGATATGATGACTAACTCTGTATAAGGCTGTCACATGATGCTAAGTTATGAATTATGGCAAGCCAGGGGGTATCCATGCCATAAACACCCACACCAAGTGCTGGGCTTGCAGCCCAGCGTGTGTCAGAAATGGGTTGGCAGGTGTTAAACATGAATTAATTATATAGGTATTCTACACCTATTTAGCATATGCTAAGCCTATATTAAGTATTTATAGAATATTATTACTTAGGTTTTTATTAACTAACCCCTTCAATGTAGTAGCTTAGTAAGACTAAGTCTTAGTCTATAGGGTTATGTATAGTATGGAATAATGTTCATCGCAATGGGAGGGAATCCTTTGAAATGTGCAAGGGTAGGGGGTAGGCCTGTGGCTGCCCTGTATGTATCCTGTCTATAATAAAGAGATTCTACCTCTCCTTTTATGGTTCTACCTAAGCTAGCAAAGAATGTAGTGATCTAAATAATTATTAGAGTTGCATAACTGAACCGCTAAAATCGAATCCGACCCTCACCGAACTCGCAGTGGTGAGGGTTCAGTTCCTAGCCTAGGGAATTGCTTCGGTTTCGGTTTAGGTAGGGTAAAACTAATTTAAGTTCAGTTAAAACCATCAGTTATGGTTTTTGCGGTTTTATCAGATTAGGTGAAACCACCTAATCTAAATAAAGATAATACAGAAGTATTACATATTAAAAAACAGGTCCAGTAATCTAACCCTAGTTAGATTTTAGAAAGACTATAGAATAACAGAATTAAAAACATGTCCAGTAATCTAACCCTAGTTAGATTTTAGGAAGTCTATATAATAAAGCAGAAATCCTTTATTATATTAAAAGATAATCTACCTAGTAAGTCCCCTTTTACTTTATAAGCTGACAGAAATGCCCTGGTTTATAAGATGTATAGTAAGGTTAAGATCCCTAAGATGCTAATTAAGAGATAATAGTCTATAGTATAGGGAGGTGATTATTATCTCTATTAGACCTCTCTCCCTCAGACACCTCTTACTCTAATATATATATATTAATATTCTCTATATTATTATCTTCCTTAAAGCTATCTAGATCTTCTTTACTATTACTAATATACTACTTAGTATCCTGGTTATCCTTATCATCCTTCTCTATATTAATATCTTTCTTGCCAACCTTATTAAGTAAGAACTAGAATTCCTAACTAATTTTAAATTAATTAGTATATATTAAGAGCATAATAGCCTGTATTATATTAATAGCAAGGCAGCTATATTAGTAGTGGTAGATATCCTAAGCTATACTAAATAGATTCTCTAGTCTAATATTAGTCACAGGGACAGCAAGGAAGTCTTAAGTAATTAAGGTAAGTATTAGAAATTAAGATGCATTCTTTTTCTACTAGTTAAGAATATTAAAGGACTTATCTTATAGTTGGTAATCTAACCATGGTTAGATTAATATAAGGATAATAACTCAAGGGGAGACTCATGTTCTCTAAGATATTTAGAAAGTTTATTACTAGTAGACTCTTTATCTAAAGGTGAAATCCAGTATTATTTTAACTTCTAAAGGGTATAATTTAGGCTAATTAATAGTGCTTAGCTAGATAACTAAGCTTTAGCTTATAGATACTTCTCTTTATAATATGTAAAAATCTTTCTAAGCTTTATATAATATTTATATACCTAGTTATAGTTATCACCTGCCTAGGAAGCACCTTTAAAGAATAAAAGCTTTTAATATAGATTAAGAATTATGCTAACAGCATATATAAGACTATAAAAGCTATAGGTCTTGTTATAGTATTCCTAAAGCTTAATATATATAGTATATAGGGTATTATATAGTTATTACTTCCAGAGCTATCTCTTATTCTTAAGTTAGGATATTACATCTTTAAGGTGATTAAAGAGACCTTTATAAATACTAAAGATCTTATATACTATAGCTCTAGTATATTCTAAGAGTGCAGTTATATATATATAGAAATTATAAAGAAGCTTAAGAAGGTACTTAATATATTACTATTCTTTAGGGCTAAGGCTAAAGGAAGAGATGTCCTTCTCCTATTAAGTATTAATAAATTAGTATATTAGTTTGCATAGTTAATTAGCTCACTTTAATATTAGATATATTAAATTTCACTATATTCTATAATCCAGAAGTAGGAGTAATAAACCATTATTATTTATATCTTAGATTCTTTAGAAAAATTCTCTTTATTTTAGGCTTGCAAGGATAAAGTATATAACTTTTTAAATCTATATACTAGTAAGTATAAATCTGACTATAGTTAGATTTAATATACCTTTTTTATTATCCTTAGGAGGCTAGTTTCCCTAATTACATAGTCCTTATTATCCTACTCTATAGTAGGGTTATTATTACTTACCTAGATATAAAGCTTATAGAGAAAAGCAGTTACTACTAATTAAATTATATAGGTAAGATAAGGTAAATAGTATTAGGATTTAAGTAGTTAGTAAAACTCTAGATTAAAAGAGAAATTTAGTACCCTATTACTATGCTCTAGTTACTCCTTTAGATTCTTAGTTAGCTTAGTAAATATTATCCTATTATTACTTATATTGTTAGTAGTAATCCTAAGAAGCTATTAACTTAACTTATATTTCTCTAGAACTTCCATCGCTACTAAAGTAAGTTATTCCCTAGTATATTTACTAAGGACTAGTAGGAAACTAAGAAGAACCTTATAATAGCAGAAATCTAGAGAGATCTAGTAGCTAGTAATCACTATAAAAGGTTTCTAGTCTATACTTATCTAGTAATCTAGTATAATTAACACCTTTATATCTAGTAGAAGAGAAGTAAGTAGTTCTTAATATATACTTATAGTAATATCTTAATCTTATTATAGTTTAGGATTCTAAGATATAATCCTAGCTTAGTAACTATATAAAGCATTTACTTAAATTACACATGCTTAATAGTTTGGAAGGGTAGGTAATATATAATTAGAAACTATATAACCTAATCTCTGAATCCCTCCTCTGAATATCATAAAGTAGATGTGTTAACCTAGGAATAAAAGAGGATAAGATTAGTAGTGAATCTAACTATAGTTAGATTAGTAAAAATATACTATTACCTATAATAAGTAATTAGTAATAGTCTATCTAGTATATTTCTATAAATACTTCTAACTTATTAGATGTGCTTTCATTATTATAGTACTAGTATAATCTAAACCTGGATAATAAAGAAGCATATAATAGTATTTATAATAAACTTTAGGTTTACCTTATAATAGTATAGCTACTTCTTTAAAATAGATCCAGGCTATTAAATATTTCTTACCTTCCTATCTTATTCTTTTCTTCTTAATTAAGTCCTCCTGTATCTTCCCCTATTTTATTTTACTCTACTACTTACAGAAGGCATCTTTTACATGCATAAGGTCTTTAGTTAATTTATAATCCTTAAGTAAGGGAAATTTAATAACATAGTCTTATCTATTTAATCTTAAGAGGACCTGAAGGACATCTAGAATAGGTACAGGACTAGATAGAGTATAGTTAATAGGGGCATCTACTAAAGATAATAAATTATTACTAAATAAAGACTGCTAGTATAGTAATGCTAGAGGTAAGGGATAATAAGAAGATAACCCTTTAGGTAGACTTATCTCAGATATAAGGAATAATATATTTTAAAGTTAGGGGCTTAAGAGAATAGAGAAGTTAGTAATATTATAGTATATAGAATAAAGCTAAAAAAGCGCACCTAAGGACCTAGAGATAACAGAGTTTAAATCTAACTATAGTTAGATTAAGAAATAACAGAGGTTGAATCTAACTATGGTTAGATTAGGGACTAACATACTAAGAGAAATTAGCACCATAGCAGGAAGTGCACTAAACACCTAAACTAAATCACTATCCACTATCACTATCTCTGTGAGTACTATTATTCTTATTATTCTTAGTATATTCTTCACCCCTATTAATATTCATCTCTAGCTATCCCTCTATCTTAAGGAGGAAGTTATTACTATATCTATACTCCTTATTAGGGGCCTTAATCTTATTAATTATAGCTTATGCTTACTTATTATTATTATTAGTAAGAGTAATCTGGCCATCCTCCCAGAGTTTCTTTAATATTCTTATGTATGCACGCCTTGCTGTATTATTTAGATAATTAAGAGTAATAGATAGGCACTAAACTATACTCTCTACTAACTCCTCTTCAGGCTCATCCTAATTATTAACTATATAAACTAATTAGCCATCTCATTAATCTAACTATGGTTAGATTATAGACCCTACCTTATAATCATCTTTACTTCTTACTTAATAGCTTTTTAAGGATATTTTTTTAAATAGTCTAAGCTAACTCTCTTATACCAGCATAGACTTTATCCTTATTAGTAATAAGTACCTCTAGGTGCTATGTTAAGAAACCTAACTTATACTAAGGGTGTGGGCTAGCTTTAGGGGCAGTCTCTTATTAATCTAATATAAGTATATTAAGATCTTTAAGCAAATTATCTATATTAGTATTATAGCTAAAATATTATAAGATAAATACATATTCTTAGAGTATATTAATAGCAGTTTTATACTCATCCTATTATACATCAGTATCT